AATTCGTTCACGTTGAATTGTTGCCTCGATTCTTAAGAAGTTTGAACCAAGCAGAGAATGATCGACGTTGAAAGCCCCGGTTGGAAGTATGTTCAAGTTCTTTTGCATTCAAACTTTAGGGCAACACCCTTGTCCAAAACAGTTATGTCCCATACCTTTTGTCAATTTCAGCATCCTAACTGTGCAGACCTCTCGGCCTCTGTATAGTAATTTTGAAGAAATGTGAATTATCCCGTGATCTCTTTTTCCGGTTGTTGTTTATCTTCAATCGCGTCGTCATCTAGTTTCGGTTAGCGTATTTCACCCCGACCCGGAACATGTACTGGACTTCATCTACTAATTAGTCTATATTTACTTTCAAGTTGAACAGTTGTTTTACCATTCGATGAAATAATTTTAAGATTTTTTTGTAAGCCTTGATAATCGGTTTTCCCTACAAATGAGATTTTCCTTCCTACGAAAGTTGAGATCTTAACCTGCCTCTGTTTCCCCGCCCACATTCTCCCAGAGAATATCTGATTTTACCCAATTTGGTAAAGTTCTAATTACCGATTTTACAAGTAACGTTTCTGACTTAGCCTTTCTCTCTAAAAAGTCACATCCTTTTGAAATCAAAGAGTACCTTTTGCTTCATCTTCTCCCTTGGTGTTCTTGAAAACCAATTCTAACTTTGTGACATACGTTTAAGGCCAAGCAAGTTGAGCATTTTGATTTTACACTAACTTTTTGAGTATCTCTCGTCAGTTTTTGTAATTTTTTTTTCAGATCTTTATCTGTCAAAGTCATTCCATTTCCTGCATTTATTCCTGTTTTTTACGTTAAGATATATTTTCATAAGTCTGATGAGGTGGTAGAGACGAAGTCGTTCAATGATGCTGAGGCCTGTAGCCGTTTCTCGCGTCAGAATTCGATTCGTAAGGGTGACTTAAGATCGCTTTAAGTCGCTGTATTATGTAGCTGAATATTGGTACCACATAAGCTGGTATTTGCAGTTTTGTCTTTTAACAGAAAACACTAATCCAGAGACTTGAATCACTTTTCTATCGGAGAAAAGTGAATAATGCAACAGATCAAGGTTGAAGCATTGTTTTTGATAAAGCAGATACAGTTTTATTAAACTACCCGGTTCACTGGAAAAAACAAGAATCTTAAATTTGCCGCCAAGAAGTATTTTTTCTTAAATCAAGGATTTTGCTGGTAAAAAAGTAGCTTATATTAATAAGCTACTTTTTTGCTTAACCCAAGCATTATTTTTCTTGAATCAAGAAAAAGTCAGCTTAAAGCAAGATAAAGAAAAATCTTGGCGGTAAATTCAAGAATTATCATGCTTGATCCAAGCTACTTTTTTTTTCAGTGTTCTCTCACGGCTGGGATTGGTTGTACAACCCTCGAGGAAGTCTAAGTCACCCTAAGAATCTTTTTACCTTGCTCGGCAATTTATTCGTCAGGTCTCTGTTCAAAATTTTGTACCTACTTTTACATTGATTCTTACATTAGTTGTAACATGTGTGCAATCATCATACATGATGTTCAAGCAATCCCACCATTTCTTTTAATGCTCTGATCTCAATTTCGCAAGCGTTTCGTAAGGACTAAGGCGCCTTACAGAAAATGTGTTGACGTTCTTCAGTTATAAGGGACGAACTAAATCCACACCTGTACCTGCCCTTGTCTTTCCCTATGAAATGAACCCCGAAGGAAATCACGCCACCGAAATCCTTATCCCTTCACTAACTCAACGAAGTATCTATAATAGATCTTGCAGAAAGTTTCGCTTAATCTCCCCATTGCTTTTTCTATCATGATAAAACCTGTATACGCCTTTCGATCTAATGTGGCCCCTTTGAAACCAATTCTTAATATGAATAATAGTTTCAAGTATGTCTTAAGGCAACCAGGCTTAGTTATGATTTTTCCCTCTCAAATGAGATTATTTTGGCAGGGTTGCCAGCGACCGGGAAAACCGGGAAAAGTCAGGGGAAAAAAAATCAACCGGGAAAAGTCAGGGAAAGTGAGGGAATTTTGGTGTTGGTCAGGGATTTTTCTAATTTTTCGTAGAATTAGGCGCGGGCGGTCTCGGGCTCGCGTTGCGGGATCAACTGGATCAATTTCACTTTAACAGACTGCGTCAGATCCATACTTAAAAGTCAGGGAATGGAAAAAAATAATTTGGCTGGCAACCCTGTTTGGGGAGGCTCCCTCCCGTCAATATTGTGATATTGTACATAAACTAGAGGCAGTTTTATTTAATGTATTGTTTTAAAGTATAATTTTGCTAGCAGGCAAATTCATTTATTCGTTAATGGTTGAGTGGCTTTCCTTCGAGTCAGATTTTGTGTTTGTTTTTGGTCCGGATTTGGGCGTGTTGATGCAAGAAGTGGACTGCATTTTGCAATTTGGAACTAGAAATTCTGGCTCATCTGAAAAAACACTTATGTACATCGGAAAACTAATGGCACATACGTTCTTTTTCAACCGAGCCAGAATTTATAGTTCCATATTGCAAAATGCAGTCCAAGAGTCAGTCTACTAGTAATGCCGCAAAAATATTTACAGCTATAACGGTTTGATATTGGTGACACAGCTAAGATTGAAACTACAATTGTAGGCTACGATTATTTATGAAACATGTTAATTATGTGAGAGGCAAGTAAATGCACAAAAACTTCCTAACACAACCGTTTAAACTTTTTTTTTTTTTTTTTTTTTTTTTTTNTTTTTTTTTTTTTTTTTTCGATCTCCAGTTTCCCTCTTGTCGTGTTTCCAATGCGCCCAGTTGAACACAATCCAATTCATAGGAATTTCGTTTACCTACAATTAAATCGTCACTGATGGTTGAACCTGGTTCCCCTCATGCGCACTCTTCCATTTTCAACAGAAACGAAGCAATAAGTACCAATAAGATAGCTACTCTCAATACATTCGCGCTTGAAGTATGCAACCCACAATTAATAGGCATCTGAAGTTAACGTTTGTCAGTATGTTGGATTTTATTTTGCCAATGTGCGTTAAAAAATTCAGCATAAAGCTGTTAACGTTTGTACTAAACTGTGGAATGCGCATGCCTCTATTCCAGATGTGCAATACGTGTGCATGGGGCAAATCATTCAACTAAATCAAATCTTCAAATTGACATCCTGCTTGGAATACATCGATCACTCTGGCATAATGCGTCCAGCCTTCAGTCAATTAATTATTGATTCCCATAGTGGAAACGTGTGCATTCTGAATAATTGTGAGAAAATCATCAAATAAATTGCGAAACCATTATTTCATCTCTTATACAGGGACTAATGCGATAGGGCAACTTGATGCTACTGGTGGCTTAAACTTAAAGAAGCCAGTATGCTGATCCTTGAAACAATTCCTTTTCATGTTTATTTTCATGCTGTGAAGCTAGAAAGTTTACTTGGAACCATTCCTGCTCTGACAGTCTGGTGGCGTATTTTTTAGTCCGGTACTGCACTGCGCATTTTGCGGCTCAAAGCAACGAAATGGATAGCCCTCAGTAAAATAATTACCTATAAATTCATAAAAATAAAAATCTTTTATTGAAGAGTAGAGGTGTGCCAGTAAGAGCCGTGGTAGAAAATACATCAGTCGAAGAATGGTTACGTTAACAAGTTCGTTCAACTCTCCTGTCAAGATTAGGCACGTTTTCATCGTAAAATTTCTAACGAGACTCCGATATGGATTTATGAAGAAGGCGTATCGAAATTTTGTTTGAGATTTTTCCTAATTGAATTGCTTACAACACCTACTTACACACCGCAAGTTAAACTTTCCTCATTTTATCAGCCAGTTAACCTTCCTCTCCAATTCTTGCTGCAATCAAGTCATGTTTCTTCCCTGTTGAGTGTGCAAGTGAAAAATTCAATCGCACGAGCTGACTACTGTCAGCTCAATCTCAGTTTACTAAATTCGTACGTTGATTAATACCGACTGTCATGCCTACGGAGAATTTCGCAACCCGACTGACTCCTTGTTAGCCAACAACTGGGTCCTTCTTGCAGGATGCGACCCGAGTTGAAAAGCTTGCGTTTAAGTTCGTTTCTGACTTTTCATTTTTTGTCTACTTGTGTACAGTCATTTCCCCGGACGTTCAATTTTGTGTGTGATTATTGTTCATTGGATCTGTCGCACAAGAAATATAGCAGCTGAGAAGGATTTTCACGATTGTAATCGCACGGAAATCACGCCAATCACACCACCATTGTCTGAAATCTACTCCTTGATGTACAATAATTTATGTAGGATTAAAGTTTCGATGTTATCGAACGCGATTTAATCCAGATGCAACAAGATTGAGGAAAATCCCCCAGATGTTGATGATCCTAGCAATTTTATCGCCAAATAATCGCATCTAAATTGTTAAATACCGAGATTTTTCAGTTGAAAAATGCTACTTGGGATGATTCAAATCGCTTTGTGAAGCTTTGTATAAAGCTTGTTTCCACGAGATATCACCAGTGCGATGATCCTAGCAATTTTATCGCCAAATATTCGCATCTGAATTGTTAAATACCGAGATTTTTCAGTTGAAAAATGCTTCTTGGGATGATTCGAATCGCTTTGTGAAGCTTTGTAAGAAACTTGTTTTCATGAGATAAATCACCAGTGGCGTGGCGTGGATTGCGATGTATCGATTGTTATGTCATTTAAACCTATGGTAAAGAATCGATTATTTAGGTGTTCGTTGCGAACACCCTGTTTATCGATCCTTTTCCATAGGTGTAAATGGCATAACAATCGATTTATCGTAATTCACGCCAAGCCACTGTAAATCTCGGGAGTGAAACTCCGGTGATTTTCTTCAGTCACCGTCTCATCGGGACG